CTCCACCGGCACACTTGCAGAATGCGAGCACAGCACTAGAAAAGAGCAGAAAAAACTTGCACGTGCGGAGCGCATAGAGGAGAAACTCCTAGAAAAAACCCTCGAAAACACCTTGGAAAAAGAGTGGAAAATCTCAGGAAACCACAGAACTTCCTAGAAAAAACATAGAAAATCTTGGAAAACCTTCGAAAAAGGCATGAGTAGATCTTACAAAAACCTTTGAAAAGCCTGAAAATCCTAGCAATCCAGCGGAAAACGTTACAACATCTAGGAAAAACCAAGGGCACTGGCAGGGACCAGGCCGCAACCAGGCCGGGATTCGAGCCTGGGACCATTTAGGGACCGTGCTTATTTTCCCCCGCGAATGGGGAGGGTGCCCCAAGATGTAAATCAATTGGGATGGAGAAATCTTGGGCAATTTTTGGTTACTTTTGGGAGAAATCTTGGACAATTTTTGGCTACTTTTCGTCACTCCAACAAAGCTCCGGAGGGGTAGGGGAGGTATAGCCTTAATCATAGCCTTGGCCTTAATCATAGCCTTAGCCTTAATCAACAGTCACGTGGGGTCGGCGGATTTCGCCCATGTTAGCGCAGGGCTGTGGGATGAGGATTGTTTGCCAATGTTGCCACAAAGGGCTTTTCGTTTTTCTTTTTTTCCTGCGGGCGCAGGCTGCTTGCAGAGAAATCTGCAGGAAACGACATGATTGCCATCATATTGAAGTGTCTGACACCTCAGACAAGGTGATGCAAGATAAACATTGCACAGTTTCATCCAGTTTGCGTATTCCAAATCCAGCGCTCCCTTTGTGTTTGGTGCCATCATTTCAACATTCAGGATGAAGACAATTTTTTTCATGGAAGGTGAACACATTGTTCATGTTGCTTTGGTGCCGTACCAGTTCCTTCAACAATGTGTTGGACGTGAATTCACCCCCCTTTGCTGGAGGTCAACCACCATGGCGTTCTGCTACCTGAAGTCTGCAGCTTGCTCGAATCTCGAGGAATGGCGGGGGCCTAACGGTATGGACATGGATGAAAAGAATTGCGCTGCAGCCTTGGGTTCGTTCATCGAATCACTGAGGTTTTGGGATCCAGGGCGCTTTGCCCTAGTGCAGCTCCGAGTTTGCAGTGCCTCGCTTTCGAATCCAGGTCAGTACGTTCAATCGAGCGACCTAGGTAAAGGGGAGTTCCTCTTCCATGAGTTGCCCGGTGCCATGCTCAGAGCTAAAACCGAAAAGAAGTGGGCAGAGAGCACGTAGCTGGCAGCTGCCATAGCTATTGAACATATTGTGGTCCTCTAAGTCCTAGGCCATCCCTATTAGGTTGGAGGCAATCGCTTCTAGTTTGGCGGCCATCGCTGTTAGTAATGCAATTGTATTGGGTGGGCCCATGTCATACCATACCCATATCACCGCTCAGGTCAATCCAACATCCACTCTGGTTCCGCCGGCCACCACATCTACACCAAATTTGCGTGGATCACCAGAAGGGTCCCTTGGCCAGGATTGTAGGAAAAAAAGAGAAAGGAAGCAAACAATAGAGGAACTAGTTTTAGGAACTTTTCATGGAGTTGAGGTTGTTCATGCCAGCCAGGCTTCAGGTTATCCACACGCCGGCGCCCAAAGCATTGCCGAAGGCGTCGGGGTGCTTCTTCTTAGTGCAAGAACGTGCGTGGGTGTCGGCTCTGTGAAAGCCACGAAGCTCGAGAGCCCGAGAATTCAGTGAAGCTAAGCAGATGGCGAAAACAACTCCGAGAAGGGTCCAGCCAAATATCGGAAACACTTATTGAAGAAGAGCTACTAGTAACAAGTGCATCGCTACTAGTAACAAGTGCCTTACTAGTAGTAACAAGAAACTACTAGGAGCAAAGGGCATCGCTACTAGGAGCAAGGACGCTACTAGGGGCTCTTGGCCGTACTACTAGTAGCCTTCTTACTACTAGTAACAAGAAGCTTGCATGCCTGCTCGACTTGCCCTGACATGTGGCATGGTCAAAACAGATGTGAATTCACGTGAGTAGGAATGGTCATATGTCGGTGGTATATAGCACAACTATTGCATTGATTCATTAGGGAGCCATAGTCGGGTAGGGCGACCGCTCAAACACCTGGCTTGCATCCTTCGGTTGTGCCAGGGCGGAGAACAACCTTGGTGGATTTCTCAGTGGAGAGTGCGCAGTAGAATGCAAAGGAGCGCTGAATGTTTTCAAGAACCTGACTACGAAGAGGATCACACTTGCAGACGCTTGTACTTAACTTGGTGGAAGTACAGATCAAAATCGCTTGCTGCTAAATTCGCTGGAGGCAACTGATGTGAAACTGGATTTTCAGTTCATCATGGACTTACAGCGGTTGCCTGTACAACCCAGTTGAACAATACTAGGAGGTTGGTCAGGTGGCCATTCGTGGAGCTTGTTCGTCCGTTCTATGGTTTCTATGTGTGTTCGTCAATCAAAGTACATGAAGCTACGATAAACTAGTATAAGAAGCCACTAGTGACAAGTGCATCGCTTCTAGTAACAAGAAGCTACTAGTAGCTAAGGGCATTACTAGTGGTAGCAAGAAGCTACTAGTCACCAGCTTTCCATTGGCCTCTCGACGGGCACCGCAGAAAAGAGTGACTTGGGCATGATCTAGGCGTGACTTGCCGAAATGATCACTATGCTGTTTTGATTGGGAGAAGTCATCCGAGGAGGATCCAGTCATGATTAGGGCATGACATGGTCTTCAGTGACTGCGAGGTCTGTCAAGTTACGTTACCACACGCCTGCTCCCAGCACCTTCGCTGAGCAGGCGTGGGTAACTGGGACTGGGAACTATATATAGTGGACGGAGAGTAGATGGCACAATTCCCAAAAGGGTGGTTTATCTGGAACCCCGATCTAGAAGACATGTCGGCACAAGGGGTTTGTGCCATCAACTCTACTCCGAAACCGCTGCAGCAGCTGTTGAAACAAACCAACAAACACATGCAGTTCTGGAACCTGGACGCTTTACCTTTTGCGACGTGGGTCTTTCACCACTTCAGGTGTTCCAGTCTGAGCCAGCCTTCCCTCCACAGGCGATAAGCGCTGGCGATAGCTTTTGCGTGGCACGGAGTAGACACACGTAAGACTGTTCGGGCCTTTTGGGCCGAAGTTCTTTCTACCGGTGGCGGGATGCAAAGGGTAGGTCCTGGTAGGCAAGTCTGAGACCAAAGGCATAGTTGAACGTGATGAGCTGCGACAGCCTGATCCGCAGGCTGCTCCAACCCAGGGTGCGATGGCTAAGGCGAAGCATTTGGGGGAAAGCTTATGTAAAGCAACCACACATGCAACAGGTGGAATTGCAAGCCAATGCTTCATGGCTCCTGTAGACCTTCTGATCCGACTTAACACCATTCCCCGCACTTTGGCATTGGCCAGGCACATTGGCCACACCACATTGCACCCTCTTCGCTGGGGAGCCGGAGGGGAAGATATGAGAGAGAGAGAGAGAGGGAGAGAAACCGTTTGATCGGATCGTGCAGTCCGGATGCCTTCCTTCAATACATTGCACAGCTCAGTTTTTGGTACATGAGCATGGACTTATGCAAACTTTGGTCCTCACTTCCGAGTTGAGTGCTGCAGAGCTCAAGGCTTCACGAATACTTCAGGAGAAGCTTTTTGCACGACATACCCCTAGGTGGCGCAATACATATATATATATATATGAGTTCAGGAGCGGGTCGAAAGCTCGTCCAAAGAAATGCTAGTTGGACATGCATGTTTTTTTTTTGCACAGCAAGCCTGGCAAAAGAGAAAGAACACCATCATCGCAAGCAACGAGACATGTCAGACATGTCTTGTCCATGGACCATGGATGCACAGCCTTCGGTGTTCTCGCCCTTCCAAAGTCAATTCCGCGTGTCAGCGGCAGCTCTTGGGTGTCGAGAGGTATGAAGCGGAAGCAGAATGGGTGGGGATGGCAAGGAGGGTGGCAAGCAGGTTGGGCAGGAGTTGGGTTGAAGAGGGTCCAAAATTGAGAGAAAGATGCAAGAAGTAGCCAGTGAGCTGTGACGGATGGTCTGTGTAGCAAACAAGAATCAAGAAGTTTGTCCCATGGATGCCAATCCTGAGGAGCTTGGCAGAGAGAAGATTGGAGAGATTGGAAATCTGGGGGGGGCAGCCTCCAAGAAGCCGTTCTGGCGACGCTTTGTGGATCCATCTGACAATCCAGAGGTGATCCAGTGGTGCCGCGAGCGAGTTCAGGCTTTCTTGGACAGTGGAAGGAGCCAAGAAGAAATGGAATGGCTAAGCAACGAAGCTCGGCCATTCTGCAGTTTGGCTCGCATTTTTCCAAGGGCATCGCTACTACTACTAGGAGCAAGGACGCTACTAGCGGCGTCTGGCATTACTACTGGGAACAAAAGGCGTGTTTCCTTCATTCGAGCTTTCGCATAGACCCTAGGAATATCGCAATACGATCAGATCCTTGGCGCCTGAAATGGGCGCCGCCTGGATCAAGGTCTCCAAAGGCATTTATGTCGCTCGGATGCAGTTCTTTTTTTGAAGCTTGTTTCCACCGTCTACGCTTGGATTCACAAATTGGCCACTTGTCAGTTCTGACAGGCGCTGGCTTGCTCCAAGGAGAACTTAGAACCCGTGCGCCTGCGGCAGCGTTTAGTTGAAGAGGTTCGGAAGAGTTGCATGAAAGCTGGAGGAAGTTGCAAGGCTTCCTGGGTGTGGCGAGACATTCCGCAGGAGACCGGTTTGCAGTTTCCGGATTAGTATTGTTCCTTAAAAAGGCATACAGTAGCGCAGTTTCTCTCCCTCCATTTGTTAAGGACAAGCAGGCTCTGTGAATATAGGTGTTGTAGGTAGGAGTTGAACGCTTGCAAACTGCACGGTTTTTGCTTGCATGGAGGATCTTTGGGTTTCAGCTGCAACTACCCTGAAGCTGCGTAATATCAAAAGCTTACCAGATGTGTGCCCCCAAGAATGTCAAGACGCGCAGCTCAGACTGAGCAAGTCAACCTTCAAAGTTGGTGAGGCAGATGACTTTGAGGTGCGCTCAGCTGTGAGGGTTGAGTTTTGAGATGTGAGATGTTGCCAGGATTCTAGATTCCACAGCTTTTCCTAGATGTCTAAAAATCATCACCCTGCATTCCAAATTTTCAGGGTGACTTGTTTTAATTAGACCTCTTCAAACCTGACCCAGCTGTTCTCCATCTCCAAGCCAAACCACCAACCATTTGGAAGACTGTTTTTGGAAGTGAAAGATGTGAAAGGGAAGCAGTTGCGTAGAGATGTGAAGCAGTTGGCCAACTTGGCAAACAAATGGTGGGCGATCGATCGGCTCCAGCCAGAATCTTCTCATCACTTCCCCTTGTTCCGTTCGTAGCGTCCCTTGTTCCGTTCGTGGTAAGGCCAGCCCTTAGTAGCGTTCTTGCTCCTAGTAGCGATGCCCTTTGTTACTAGTAGCGATGCCCTTGCTCCTAGTGGAACTGCTTGTGGACATTTGGGCTAGAAACTGCTCCTGTTCGGAATGGCTAGGATCTTGCGTCAGATCTTAGAATTTGAGGGGCTTGATGGCATACTATGTCAATATTAAACCGGTGCTTGTACCATCATTGAAATGTCAAAAACTTCTCCCTAGAGTGACGCTGCTTGTCATCAGGATGCGCTACATGTGCACTTCGATGCGTCACATCTGGCTGCTGCGGCTGGCGTTGTGGCGGCCGCCAGCAGGGCACCACGCCGGCAGCGTTCGGCGCAGGACGCGCAGGGCCTTGATTTTCTGCGGAGGCCGTCGATGGCCATGGGACCAGAGGACCTAAGGAGAGAACAAGAAAGGCCTGGCTACGTGCTTTGGCTATCGGCATATGGATCATTTTTATGGCTCTTTGATGTTGATGTTTGTTGTGTAATTCGTTAGGTATCTCTTGATGTTAGCATATGTTGGCTGCTTGTTGATGTTATAATATGTTATATTATACAGTTTGATGTTATTGTTGCTGACACTGGATGGCCATGGCGTCGCTTGAGCGGCTTGAACGGCTTGAGGTGAAGATGCTTCCCATGCGTCAGCATTTGCCAGCCTTTCACATGGCGAAGGAGATTTGTAGCTCTGTGCGGGACAATCAGGTGACCTTGATTTTGGGAGCGACCGGTTGTGGGAGCCTTGTTCTATTTGGTTCTCTTTCGCTGATATTTTTGATAGAGCATTGCTCTAGGAGCTCAAACGGTAGCCACTTCCCTGCAGAGTCCTGCATACTTCGTCCAACTTCTGCTGTTTTTTTGCATCCTTTGCTAAGCCCTTGCTGCTTTCCATCCCTTTGTTAATCCACGCAGTTGTCTTTCGCGAAAAGATTTCAAGTCGTCCAATGCCCAAGTTCTTTTAGAGCTTTTGAAGTTTGGAGAGAGCTTTTAGACCCGACTAGTTAAGTTTCCCTAAGAATCTAGGAACCAAATGAATAGTGCGAGCGATCTTTTTCAAACAAGTTCCCTCCCGCCGCCTTTAGGGCAGCGGGGGTGTTTCTTTGAAGAAGCGTGAGCTATCCTGCGTCCATACTAGTAGCCTAGTAGCTTACTTGTAGGTACTAGCCACCTCTTCTACCAGCTACCTCCAGCGGCCTACCCTCGCCTTTGTCAAACGAATACTTCGAAACCGAATGTCGTTTTCGCCGAGGAAAACGACGCAGATCCCGCAGTTTCTACTGGAAGATTGTACCCTGCGCGGCGAGCCATGCCGCTTGGTGGCCACCCAGCCACGCCGCATCTCCGCCGTCTCGGTGGCCGACCGAGTGGCCACGGAGCGGGGACAGACGCTGGGCGAGTCCGTGGCGTTCAAGATCCGCTTTGAGGAGAACAAAATCATCCGCTTTGTGGAGACAATTCTAATTAAATTCTTATTGTTACTACTAGTAAGGCACTTGTTTCTACTAGCGATGCACTTGTTACTACTAGTAAGGCACTTGTTTCTACTAGCGATGCACTTGTTACTACTAGTAAGGCACTTGTTACTAGTAGCGATGATAAGATACAAGCACATGAAAAGAACGAACAAGATGGGACAAGAAACTACTAGGGGCTCCTGACCTTACTAGGAGCAAGGACGCTACGAACGGGGCAAGTCTGATGCATCCGTCGCAAAAAAGCTTTGGCTTTTGTTTCGCTTGTTCAATTGGGGTCGGGGATTGCACCAACGCTTGGGGAGGATGAGATCACTGAGACCACGCAAGTGATTTTCTGCACTGTGGGAATTTTGTTGAAGGTGATGCAGAGCAACCAGTATCTGGAAGGGGCGACCCACATCGTGGTAGACGAGGTGGGTGTCTTCAACCAAGCTTTGTGGGCACCATGAAGGAAAACTAGCGGAAACTGGACGCTACTAGGGGCTCCTGGCATCGCTACTAGGAGCAAAGGGCATCGCCAACCGATCATCAACCCCTTGATGAGATTTCATTCTTCGGAGATGCTGCCAGTTGGTGGGCTAAGCGGGCTAAAAGGGATTCGAGGCTTCCCCACATGCTTTGACATGTGCAGGTGCACGAGAGGGGCTTGCACACGGACTTCCTGCTGATCCTTTTGCGAAGATTGCTGAAGGAACGCCCGGAGCTGCGCGTGGTCTTGATGTCTGCGACTGTGGACCCCTCGGCCTTCCAAGCCTACTTTGAAGGCAAGAGACATGCTAACATGAACCTAAGTTCGATGCAGAGAGCAGAAGGTTGTGCATGACATGTATGGCAAAGTGTGCTGGCATATTTAGTGTCCTTGTTGGAAAGGCATCAACACCGTGAGCATCCCTGGAAAAACCAACTACCCCATCGAGGAGCTCAGGGTGTGGACCTGTTCAGTGGGATGGAAACAGTCCATGATGTCAGGCATGCTTCCTGCCAAAAGTTTCATGCAGCTTCCCTGTTGCTTGACATGATAAGTGGCCCTTCACAACATGCCGGGCTTAGCGGATGCAGATTGAAAAGGACATTCTTTCACGCAGCACGCCTGTTTTCACTCAAAGACAGACTTTGTGAGACAGCACCACGCGGAGGAGCTCTTCCTGGAGGATTTCCTGCTGCAGCTGCCTGAGCTGGGAGGTTGGCGCTCGAACCGCCAGATTCGTAGCTCGCCCTTCTCCCAAAAACCGTTGGCAGTGCCTTTGGACTGGGAGGGCGTGGCTGCTGTGTTGGGCGAGTCGGCACTGGTGGAGGAGGTAGTGAGGGTCCACAACGAGATGGCGGATGTCATTGATCTTGAGCTCGTGCTGCGAGTTGTGAAAATGATCCATCAAGGAGGCTCGTGTTTTTTGCTGTGTTCTGTTTTCATTGAGTGTCAAGAAGGATTCACCTCATTGCGTACTGTAGGGCCACTGTAGAGTATTTGGCGCAGCTATCTTATCATTTTTAGACTCCGTAATCCAGGAGAAGAGGGTGGCATCCTGATTTTCATGCCTGGCTGGGCAGAGATCAAAGAGATCATCGACCGCTTGAAGGATCGAACGCCTGTGCTACTGACAAGAGTAGTAAGAATGCTCCTAGTAGTGATGCCAGGAGCCCCTAGTAGCTTCTTGTTTCTAGTGGCAAGAATGCTGTTTTGGTTTTAACATATCTCAACAAATCCATGCTACCCACGTCGAAAGTGGCGGGTTGCTGCCGACTTTCAGGGTCAAAGCTTCGCTGGGGACCTGGTGATTCATGCGCTGCATTCGCGGCTTCCCACCTGGGAGCAGAAGCAGATCTTCCAGAGCCCGCCCGAAGGCCAGGCCTTAGGAACAAGGACGCTACTAGGGGCTCCTGGCATCGCTATTTGGGAGCATTCTTGCTACTCTCAACGAGGGCATTACTACTAGGAGCTATTCGCCCAAAGGCCAGCGGAAGGTCGTGGTGGCCACAGTGCTGGCAGAGACCTCAATCACTGTGGAGGACAGAAGCCTCCAACCTAAGAGCGATGGCCTCGATGGCCTGGGAGAACGGAAGACTTTGGCAAAGTTAGATGGATGTGTTTTTTCCCAATGCCTTGTTTGTGTCCCACTGGTTGGATGTGTTTCTACATGACGACGTGTAGCATCGTTAGGGGCTAGAAGTGGCTGTGAAAGGATGTGGTCTATGTCATCGACCCTGGGCGCAGCCGCACCACCTTCTTCAATGAGCAGACCATGATCTCAGCCTTGCGCACTGTTTGGTACTCCAAAGCCAATGGCTTCCAGCGCCGCGGACGTGCAGGGCGCTGCCGACCTGGCGTGTGGTATCGGCTTTACACCTCCATGCAGTGGGATGCCATGGAGGAGCAGCATGGCAGAAGCTCGGGGCATTCTTCCGTTTTCTTGTGCTCGGGGCATTCTTCATGTCCGGCGAGTTCGTGTTTGAGGTACGAACTTCCGGAGATGCTGCGGTCGCCTTTGGAGGAATTGTGCTTGGAGGCCGGGAGCAGGCTGAGACGGTCTTGGCCAGAGGGTGTCGGAAGGGTTTGGGCTTTGGTGGGAGAGTGTTGTTCGCCGGGTTCGGTGCAGTGACGCGAAAAGGTTTTTCTTGAGAAATGGATTTGCACGAAACAAGGGCATTGCTACTAATAGCTCCTGGCCTTAATACGGGGAGCAAATAGCTACTAGTAACAAAGGGCATCGCTACTAGTAGCAACCCTCCGGGACCCTCCGTCAGGTGGCCTCCTTGGGGCTTGGTGTGCCGGAGGAGTTTCTGCAGGAGGCCAGGGCGGCGATATGCGGCGATGGTTTTCGGTTTGAACATCTCAAAAAAGAGGCCATGTGTCACCTTGAGTTTGAGATGATCCAACCCTGAAAGCGAATGAAACCTCATTTTCATCTAGGGGGAGGCCATCGCTCTTAGGTGGAGGCCATTCCTAGTAGGTTGGAGCGATGGAGGCCATCGCTCTTAGCGGGGAGGCCTCACGTTCGTCATATTTCTGTCGCTTTTCTCATCGAGGCGATCTCGCCGCCCCGGGCGGAAGTGCTGCAGCATGCCGTGGAGCTGCTGCAGCGCCTGGGTGCGGTGGAGGGCCGCGGCGAGACGGTGACGCCCTTGGGTGCAAAGCTGGCGAAGCTGCAGGCTGGAAGGTTTGTGGCCCCCCTTCAAACTCCCAAGATATAGCAGGGTGGCTACTGTACTTGTTTTTGGCCCTTTTCAGCGCACTTGGCGGTGGCCGGTAGCCAATGCGACAAAGCGGTCTGTGGGAACTTGTGATCGTCAAAGTGCTCAAGGTGAATGGTAAGGGGGTATGGTTTCGTATCCTTCACATCAGAATGCACGAGCAACTTTGCCAGGCATATCCGGGTGTGTTCAGCGACCCCCAAATAACAAGAAGCTACTAGGAGCAATGGGCATCGCTACTAGGAGCAAGGATAGTAACACACAGCTACTAGTAACAAGGGCATCGCTACTAGAAGCTCCTGGGCTTACTACTAGTAACAAATAGCTACTACGAGCAAGGGAGGGCATTACTATTAGTAACAAGGGCATTATATACTACTAGTAACAAGGGCATTACTACCAATAACAAGGGCATTACTACAAGTAACAGGGGCATTACTACTAGTAACAAGGGCATTATATACTCCTAGTAACAAGGGCATTACTACTAATAACAAGGGCATTTTTACAAGTAACAAGGCATTACTACTAGTAGCAGTCTTGCTCCTAGGAACACAGGATGCTACTAGTAGCAAGAAGTTTCCCTCAGCCCATGAGGTCCACCCAATGCTCGCAAAGCTGCTGCTGCTTGCGGCGCCCTTTCGTTGCTTTGATATGATGTTGACGATTTGCGCGTCTTTGGGCTACAAGCCGCCTTTCATTTGTCCCATGGGGATGGAGAAGGCCGCGAACAAGGCTCGGCAAGAGTTGTCGGAAGGCTCTAGCTCCGACCTGGTGGCAATGGTGAATGCCTACGAAGGCTGGAAGGTTGGCAGGGACGCCTTTGCTCGCCAGTACTTCTTATCCAAAGAAACCATGGAATACATTCATCGCCTCAGGGAGGATCTACTGTTGAGCATTCGTGAGGTCCTGCATGAAGTACCGGAGGATCATGCGGATCATCAGGCCCGTGCAAACGCCTGCAAAGCTGTGCTGACGGCCGGGCTCTACCCGAACCTCGCGTGGCTTCATGGGAAGGGTCGTGGCAAAACCTTGCAGAACTTGCCGGTGAAGCCACACCCTGGGAGTGTCAATGCTGCGGAGAGTCCCACGGACGGGTTTTGTGATTTGTTTTTTCCGGAAGCTGAAGGAGCCATATAACATGTGTACCATACATATATAAGTTGCAGGGTTTCCCTTGAAGGTTGTTCCCCTGACGGCGAAAGCCATTGGGGTTCTTACGTTCTTACTTCAAGTATAGGAAGACGTGCCAGATGTCTGGCTGTGTGCGCGTTGGAGCCTGGGTGTTGGTGCTGCTACAAGGTGCCGCTCTCAGATGTTTTTGGAGGGTGCGGCTGCAGGGTGCCGCAACCAGATGTCTATGGCACTATGCGCTTTTGGGGGCTGGGAGATGTTGCCACTGCAGGGTGCCGATGCTAGATGGCGGTGCCGCTGCAGGGCGGTGCTTGCATTTTTTGCTATCTGGGATCTATGCTGGCAGATTTTTTAAACATACATCCAGGTAAGACGGGTTATTGCTGGATTCTGACAGGTTTTCGACGGGGGAAGGTGTTTTGCTCAACCAAGCAAGGTTCTAAGGGATCAGTGAAGAAAACCGAACACCTGTCAACACATGATGCTAGCCGGAGCAGGTAACTGCGTTTCTGTGCAACCAAGGCTGCAACCTCTCAAACGTCCTGCAGACAGAACCTGGCAACGAAACTCCTCTGGCACAAGTGCAACCGTGTCTTAAATGAAGCCTCGCTGCCCTGCTTGTAAGAGATTCCGCGCGCATTCTTGAACAATGCTTTCCAATCTAGACACCATCCGTAAACAAAGGCTTGTGAAAATCTGGTCATGAAGGTGGTTTTGACAAAAGTTTGACTCATGCTCCAGCAAATGCCCATTATATACTTGGCATCGCTCGGCCAACTTTGCGCCTTTGGTCATGCTATCAGGTGTGAAGGTTTCCCCTCTTGCTGCCCGGTGTACCGCCCGGACTGGCACGTTGCTCATTGCTACAGCTCCACCAACTCGAGCACGCTCTCTCGAGCTACACCCTATAGGGCCTTCGACTCAACGAAAGACCATGTTCCAAGATAGCTACTAGTAGCTTCTTGCTCCTAGTAGCGATGGCCTCCAACCGACTTGCAATGGCCTCCACCTGGTAGCTTCTTGCTCCTAGTAAGGGCCTTTTGCTTGGTTTGCATTCGTAATGGCGACCAAGGCAGTTCGCTGATCAAGAACAAAATCGGTTTGCCTCTTTTTGGCCGCGGCAGTAACCAGCTGATACTCTGTGCTGTCACTCTCTGCCATGATGCACACAACCTCGCAGTAAATGGATTTTCCTGCGCATAAGTTTTCCACCTGGGTACAAGCTAAGCCGGTCTGTAGGATGGTTCCACCAGATCTGCGAATAGAAGTGAATGAGGGCTCATTCCCTGCGCGCCTGAGGCAAAGGCACCAATGGTTTGTTTGCATGGGAGACTGAGCCCGTCCCACCGTCATCGTCAGTCAGTGAACCACGCCGGCGGCTCGTTGTCGGCAAAGCTTGGGCCCATGGCAATCTCCGTTCTTTTGATGTTCATCTTGAGAAGCTAATTTTGATAGCCAGTTGGCGGATGTTGGTGGCCACCAAGAAGCCAGAAACACCACAATCTCCCTGACTGCCTTCTGTACTGTGAGACATCTTGATGCTTTGCTCTAGTGGCATCTCCAAATCTACCATTTCCAGAAGGCAGCCAGCAGCTGGCAAAATCTTCTACCATCAATCGCCATGCAAGACCAACAACGTTCTTGGAAGGGGTCTGCATCAACACGCGTGACGCGCCGGCTTGGGTTGCATACTTCTGCAAAGTTCCAGGTCTTACCAAACTTAAACTTTATATCAGTTGCCAATAGTTCTCATCAACCCATTGGGGACTCCCCCTTGTACCCTTACATGTCTTTTGTTGCTTGTTTCCCCACTTGTCTCCCCATGGAGAGCGAATACAAGTTGACGAGATTTGTGGAGTCACGTGCAGAGGTGTGGAAGCTCTCGTGATTTTTTTTTTGTGAATTGTTTGACTCTTTGTCTCCAGCGCTTCTGTTTGTAGGGCTCGGCTAGTTGTTGCGCCGACGATTTGGCGGTGACCAGCCAAGAACCCAAGCGCCGGTTCAAAGTGATGTACATAAGTACAGTGCCCATGAAGTGTTCGAGGCACATTGCCCGGCCATTCTGGTGCTCCTCCAAAAAGCTGGAAACAGAACCCCACCGGCACTGGCACTGTTCTACCGGTGCAAAGCTAGTCTGGAAAAGTACATTAGTAATCTGCACCAGGACTCTTCGTTGCCGGCAGTAGTGTTTCATTTTCCACGTGACCTGTGTACTCCGCAAACCCTCTCCCACATAGGTCTATATATCGGTTTTTGCCCGGCTGACTGAGGTTTTGTTCGGTTTTTCTGAGGTCATTGCCTCATGGTGTTCTACGAAATCCAGGAGACCACAGACCGGTGGCTCTATGACTCCACGGTGATTGGAGCAGCGCCCCTTCTCCTTTTTGCGCCCGCATTGACCGAGGTGCATCGAAAGCAGCGGGTGGTCTTTGAACTGGAGCGGTGGCACATGGCTGTGGATGTGCGGGTGGCAGATGAGCTTCTGAAGTTGAGGCTCGGTTGTTGCCGTAGTTCGCAATCAATCTTTTGCGCCAATATTGCCAGCAATTTCTTTGGGGGTCTATCACTTTGCATTTAAGGTAGTTGATGGGTGGGTTGTAAGCACTACCGTGGATGATGTCCGGCCACATCAAGCAAGCACACTTTCCGAGGCGCTTGCTCGCCAGCTTTGTGAACGATGTGGTTGGGGAGCGTTTGACCCCCACTCAGTTGCAAGCGGCAGAGGCCTTGCAGAAGGTATTCGCAGAACAAGTGGAGACCACCGGTGGTACTGAGGTGGGGGCGCGTCTTACATATTACTGTACTTACTTATTCTTTCCAGCTTTCGTTTTCCAGAGAGTTTGAAATTTGTGTCCTTCGCATTGCTCGTTGCGTTGCCCTTCTTTTAGCATACTTGTGTCTTGTGTTTTGCAGCGTGCTAGTCGGGCTGGGTCATTTTCAAGTTCCAATACAACTACATATTTGTTGCTTCCTTTGCGATTCCTTTTTGCAAAGGCGGCGGTTGACTCAGCGGACGTTTTTTTAAGCAGATTCGCCAACCTGTCAAGTTCCTTTTGCCCGTTTTGTGCTTTTTGGTGTGCTGATTTGTGCCGGCCCGTGTTCCGGCCAAGTGATGTTGCAAGTGACACCATTTTTTCTTTCAACAAAGTCTCCCACGTGTTCAAAATTTGAAAGGGTGCATTTTCATTCAGCACTCGTCTCTGACAGGATGAGGCTGAAGGTGGTGATGGGGAGAATAGTGCGAACAACAGTGTGATTGAAGATGCTTGGGATTCTCAACCGCAGGCCTAGCAGGGCGGACCCTAGGAACCTAGCTCCACATCTGTGTGGTGAGGCGCGTCAAGAAAAAGGTGCGTCCGGCTGCGTCCGGGTGAATGTGGCGCCCATTTCTTCAGATGACTAGGTGGACGCTACTAGGAGCAAAGGGCATCGCTATTAGGAGCAAGGACGCTACTAGGGGCTCCTGGCCTTACTGCTAGCAACAAGGACGCTATTAGGTGGAGGCATAGGTGCATCCTTTGCTCCTAGTAGCGTCCTTGCTCCTAGTAGTAAGGCCAGGAGCCCCTAGTAGTGTCCTTTTCTTCAGGAGGCACAGCTGCGTCCTTCCCAGTTTGAGGAACTGTCTCGTTTAGGAATGCGAGATGCACCCCTCATGTTGCGCATTTCCGATCGCTTTTTTTGTTGATCAGCGAGTTAGTGGTTGACCGCCGGTTCACACTGACCCGCCGCGCCGTTTGCAGCGCCATGGGAACTGGAGCCTCTGCCGCAACTGGGATGGCAGCAGCGGCCGCTTGGTGACGATCAAAAAGAGGACTTGGTGGACTAAGTCGAGATAAATCAGGTTGGGAAACTTTCGGCTGGCTAGGGACTCCTGGCCTTACTGCTAGGAGCAATGTTCGCTACTAGGGGCTCCTGGCATCGCTACTAGCAGCAAGGACATTGTTGGAGTCTTTCTTGGGCCAAGGTGAACAAGATGGAGGATGCTGAACTGATGGGTGTTGTGGAAAACCTGGACAACGACACCTGCGAGGTCATCCAGAAGGCCAAACATGGTTTGTTGACACTTGTGTTCCCCAAGGCCTTAATTGCCATCGCTATTAGGTTGGAGGCCATCGCTAGCTAGTAACTAGTAGGTTGGAGGCCATTCCTGTTAGATTCTATGGTCTTTTGTGTTCCTCATAGCCTCAAAGTCATCCCCCGGATGCCCCCAGCCCTATCAGCAAACTGAAAGCCGAGCTGAGCTGTTGACAATTGCGAGCCATGTGCACAAATCTTTTTTGCTTGACAGCCAGTTGTCGACCATTGCAAGGCCATCAATGCCAAGCTTGTCGTTCCCAGCGAAATGATGAATGTATTTCATTTGGGATTAACATGCTTTTTGACTGGGTGCGGTCAAGCATCAGGCGCAGTTTCAGCCTTTCTATTTTGATGTCATCGCTCAACCCCACTGTCTCCCTGCAGCTCTGTGTCCTCAGCTCAGGCAATCTGGAAATGGGACAAGTTCAGTGTGAAGAACCATTTGCTAGAGCAGGGGGTGAAGTGCGAGTGCTCAGGATTGGCAATAGTTTTGTCTGCCTTATTTTGTATCATGTCATTCCGTGTCAATCCTGCTGGCTGGTTGATGTGGAAATCGGTCCTTATGCTGTCATTCACATGAGGCTCCGAGTCTCCCAGAGTCTTCAAGAGTCTCCAGTTTCCATTAGTTGCCGGTCTCGCAGGAAAGGAGCTCCTGAAGGGAGAAGGCAAGTTTGAAAGTGCTGAAGACGAGGCCTGTCGCAGGCCAGTGGTAGGCTCAGGTAGACATGCCTCAACCGCCAGGCGAAGGCAGACGCCTTCATCAAGAAGACGGCGCTTGAGTGCCCGGACGCAGTTGGGAAAAAGGTCCTAGTGGCGTTCTTGTTCCTAGTAGTATGGCCAGGAGCCCCTAGTAGCGTCCTTGTTTTTAGTAGCGATGCCAGGAGCCCCTAGTAGCATTTCGATCTGTGTAGCATTTCGAACATTTCGAGGTTTATGATGGAACAAGTGACTGCTCACAGGCGCTAAGCTTCGGTGCATGGACAGTTGAGTTCGTGGGTTGGAGGATTTTGGACGATTGCCACAGCTCTGTGCAGGCCATTTGTGCCACCAGCCTCAGCGGCCCAGCATTGTGTCTATTTGTGGGACTATGACCCTTGCCTTGCCACATCTTTATGTTCTACATAGTAACCAGAAGTAGGTTGGAGGCCATTACTACTAGTAGCAAGAATCTAGTAGGTTGGAGGCCATCGCTACTAGGATGGAGGCCAACTACCAGCGGCAAGAAGCTATATGCATCGGCATCTGGTCATATCAGATCTATTTTTCGTCTCCCAGGACCAGACGGTGGATTTCTTGCAGGAAGACAACATTTGCTACCGCGCAATGCCTGGCAAGAAGTTGCTCCTCTCTGGCAACATGGAGAAGTCTCAATTCAGTGGCTGAGTCGCAAAGACCAGGTGGCCAAGACAAGAAGCTATTAGTAACAAGTGCCACGCTAGTAGTAACAGGTGCCTTACTAGTAGTAACAAGAAGCTATTTACTTTAACTTTAATAGCTTTTTGTTACTACTAGTAAGGCACCTGTCTACTAGCGTGGCACTTGTTACTACTAGCGTGGCTGAGTCGCAAAGACCAGGTGGCCAAGACCAGTTCTTCGTCGTCCACTTCGGACTGTCCGAACGAGATTCGCTTGAGCGCTCAGGCGAGGAGGAATGGGAGAGCACTGTCGAAAGGTTGGGAGTGAAGGCAAAGGAGTTCATGGTGGCTATGGCTGATGTGTGAGCTGAGTGGGAAACTTGTGTAACTCTTTGCAACTTGGCTGGCCATTGGCAAAGCCATTGGCGTTTGGCTTCGATGTTCCTCGCAATCCCAGCATCGCACCATAAAGAGGTACAGCTTAAGAATGAGGGTCCCTAACGACCGGAAAAAACACCTGCTGGCGATGACTGGGCTGCTCTGAGGGGCAGATGCTGATACTTCACCGATACTGCGTATCTGTGGGGCAGACCTTGACAAGAGACCCAACAAAAAGACCTTCGCTCGAAAGCACATTGTGGCCTAGAGTCAGATAGGTTCTTAATGGCACTTATATACATGTTTTTAAGGGAAGTGACAGGGACTCCCACGAGTGGTGGACATGTGAAACGAAACAGGGTCAATAACATGTTCGGGCTCCACTGGCTCCACGGGGTCCACTGGCTCTCTGCAGCTCCTTGAGTTTTGCCAAAAGCGATGGCCTCACTAGCAATGGCCTCCAACCCAATAGCGATGGCCTCCACCCCAATAGCGATGGC